ATAATCAAGGGAAAAGGGGGGAAATCAGGGAAAAAGGGGAGAAATCAGGGAAAAGGGGGGAAATCAGGGAAAAGGGGAAATCAGGGAAAAAGGGGGGAAATAATCAAGGGAAAAGGGGGGAAATCAGGGAAAAAGGGGAGAAATCAGGGAAAAGGGGGGAAATCAGGGAAAAGGGGGGAAATCAGGGAAAAAGGGGAGAAATCAGGGGAAAAGAGGGGAAATCAGGGAAAAAAAGGGGGAAAATCAGGGAAAAAGGGGGGGAATCAGGGGAAAAAAAGGGGGGGGAATCAGGGCAAAAGGAGGTTTTGGGGTGGTCGGCCTGTGCTTAGGACTAAAACCCTCCAAAGCGAGGTCTGGCCATGAGAACCGCTGCTGACTCGGCCCGCAAGGACAGTGAGGGCAGGCTGTGATTTAACGCTGCTCCCCACCCACAGCGTGCTTTGGGGTCGGGGAGCTCCCCCAACAGGCCTGAAAGCCTGCACTGGGAATAAGCTGCTTTAGCCAGCATTGAGGCTTATTTAGGGAATACGTGGAGTCTTCATCTCCTCTAGTAGTTATTTAGTTTATTTATTATTTATTTTATTCATTTATTTTATCATTAATTTATTTAGTGTATTATTTATTAATAATTCATTTACAGAATAAGTGTATTATTTATTTAGTGTATTATTTATTTATTATTAATTTATTTAGTGAAGAAGAGTATTATTTAGTGTATAATTTAATTTATTTTTATTTATTTCATTATGTTATGATATATTTATTTCGTGTATTATGTCTTTATTATTCATTTATTTAGCAAAAACGTGTGCTATTTAGTGAATAAGTGTAGTATTTATTTAGTGTATTATTTATTTATTATTAATTTATTTAGTGAAGAAGCGTATTAGTGTATAATTAATTTTATTTCTTTTTCTTTCATTTATTTCCCTGATTTTCTTCATTTCATGATGTATTTATTCCCTCTATTATGTCTTTATTATTCATTTATTTAGTGAATAAGCCGCTTTAGAAGCGGGCTGAGCCTCCCGCCTGCCCCCTGGCAGCCCAACCCAAGGCTTTGAACAGGCTGGGGTTTGGGGTTCCTTTCAGCCTCTAAGCAGGCTCTGCGTTATCAACCCCTCGAGGGTCTGAGTGGGATTGCCACGTTTCCCTTCATTTCCCTGTTGGGAATGCTCCATCCCTGGCGGTGTTCAAGGCCAGGCTGGATGAAGCCTTGGCTGACCTGGTTTAGTGGGAGGTGTCCCTGCCCATGGCAGCGGGTTGGAACTGGGGGAGCTCCAGGTCCTTTCCACCCCAACCCATTCCATGTTTCCTTATGCAAACCTCACCTGGAAGTGAACCAGAGGGAGCAGAAACCACTGCTCCAACGGGCGCGTTTTGGATCCCTGCGGGTTCCCTGCTCACACGAATCCCATCGAACACCTCCCAGGCCCAAAGCAGGCAGGGAAGTTGGGGGGCAGGAGAGGGGAACGGGACACGCAGAAGGAGGTGACGCTTTCCCCTTGGGGTGACTTTGTGTTCCCTAGGGAGGCGCCTTCTACTTCCTCGAGCACGTGGCCGCCGACCCTTGCAGCTGGAAGCACTTCTGGCAGCAGGTCTGGCATCCCACCTGGAAACTCCTCTTCGACGGATGCTGCCTCACGAAGGAGACGTGGAAGGCTCTCGAGGAGGCCGACTTCTCAGAGCTGCACCTCCAGCACACCACCGTGGCGCTGCCCTGGACTCCCACGCACCCTCACATCATGGGCTATGCTGTGAAGTAGCTCGGCGCCCTGCCAGGCCTCCTCTGCATCCCTACAACCAACGCAGCACCACCTAATCCCAGCGGCCCACGTCGTGAAAGCTCTGCTTCCGACAGCTGAGGAGCTCGGGGGGTTTAAAGCTTTACTGCAATAAAGGGAGAGCCTCGCCGTGGTCAGAGTATCCACCTGCCTCAAGTATCCACCTATTTCATACCTTCCCCATCCCAAATCCTTCCTCCTTTGGCTTGGATACCCCGAGGATCCCAGCAGGAGTTAAACCGGTGTTAACGGCACTGCTCCGGGTAACTGATTCCTGCCATTGGGAAGCATCCAAGTGCCATTGGGATCAGCTGCTCCCAAGCACTGATTGAGGCGCTGTTGCCTCCCCCCCCACAGAAGGTACCGGGGCCGGCTCCCAGCATCAACCGCGTTCCATGATGCGCGGTGGGGCCTGAGCGGCACCGTCGCCATAGCGACCGCCGTTGGTACCCGCACCTCCACAGGTGCCCCCCGGCAGAGGATGCGGTGGGAGCTGCGTGCGGCCGCGCTGGTGCTGCTGCTGGTGCCAGCGGTGACGGTCGGTGCCGTGGCCGTGGTGACGGCGCCCCGGGATGCACCGGATGGTACCGTGTTTGAGGCACAACGGCGGGCGTAGGGAGCGGGGGGGAAGGGGCTGGGAGGGTGGGGGAGAGGGAGGGGGTGTGGTGGCTCCCCATGGACACACCGGGGGGGGGGCTGGAAGCTGCTCACCCTCAGTATGTGCACACACAGGAAATCACAGACTTAGGAGGGCTGGGGTGGGAAGGGACCTTCAGAGCTCATCCAGTTCCAGCCCTGGGATGGGCAGGGGCATCTTCATCTAGACCAGGTTGCCATGAGCAGGGGCATCTTCATCTAGACCAGGTTACCTTGAGCAGGAGCATCTTCATCTAGACCAGGTTACCATGAGCAGGGACATCTTCATCTAGACCAGGTTACCATGAGCAGGAAGATCTTCATCTAGACCAGGTTACCATGAGCAGGAGCATCTTCATCTAGACCAGGCTGCCATGAGCAGAGACATCTTCATCTAGACCAGGTTACCATGAGCAGGAGCATCTTCATCTAGACCAGGTTACCATGAGCAGGAAGATCTTCATCTAGACCAGGTTGCCATGAGCAGGGACATCTTCATCTAGACCAGGCTGCCATGAGCAGGAGCATCTTCATCTAGACCAGGTTACCTTGAGCAGGAACATCTTCATCTAGACCAGGCTGCCATGAGCAGCAACATCTTCATCTAGACCAGGATGCCATGAGCAGGGACATCTTCATCTAGACCAGGATGCCATGAGCAGGAACATCTTCATCTAGACCAGGCTACCATGAGCAGGGACATCTTCATCTAGACCAGGTTACCTTGAGCAGGAACATCTTCATCTAGACCAGGTTACCTTGAGCAGGAACATCTTCATCTAGACCAGGTTGCCATGAGCAGGAACATCTTCATCTAGACCAGGTTACCTTGAGCAGGAGCATCTTCATCTAGACCAGGCTACCATGAGCAGGAACATCTTCATCTAGACTAGGTTGCCATGAGCAGGGACATCTTCATCTAGACCAGGTTACCTTGAGCAGGAACATCTTCATCTAGACCAGGCTGCCATGAGCAGGAGCATCTTCATCTAGACCAGGTTACCATGAGCAGTGGCATCTTCATCTAGACCAGGTTGCCATGAGCAGGGACATCTTCATCTAGACCAGGCTACCATGAGCAGGAGCATCTTCATATAGACCAGGCTGCCATGAGCAGGGACATCTTCATCTAGACCAGGTTACCATGAGCAGGGACATCTTCATCTAGACCAGGTTACCTTGAGCAGGAACATCTTCATCTAGACCAGGTTGCCATGAGCAGGAACATCTTCATCTAGACCAGGTTACCATGAGCAGGAACATCTTCATCTAGACCAGGTTGCCATGAGCAGGGACATCTTCATCTAGACCAGGCTACCATGAGCAGGAGCATCTTCATCTAGACCAGGTTACCTTGAGCAGGAGCATCTTCATCTAGACCAGGTTACCATGAGCAGGGACATCTTCATCTAGACCAGGTTACCATGAGCAGGGACATCTTCACCTAGACCAGGTTACCTTGAGCAGGAACATCTTCATCTAGACCAGGTTACCTTGAGCAGGAACATCTTCATCTAGACCAGGTTACCATGAGTAGGGACAACTTCATCTAGACCAGGATGCCATGAGCAGGGACATCTTCATCTAGACCAGGATGCCATGAGCAGGGACATCTTCATCTAGACCAGGTTACCATGAGCAGGGACATCTTCATCTAGACCAGGTTACCATGAGCAGGGGCATCTTCATCTAGACCAGGTTACCATGAGCAGGGACATCTTCATCTAGACCAGGATGCCATGAGCAGGAAGATCTTCATCTAGACCAGGCTGCCATGAGCAGGAACATCTTCATCTAGACCAGGTTGCCATGAGCAGGAACATCTTCATCTAGACCAGGTTGCCATGAGCAGGGACATCTTCATCTAGACCAGGCTGCCATGAGCAGGAACATCTTCATCTGGACCAGGCTGCCATGAGCAGGGACATCTTCATCTAGACCAGGTTGCCATGAGCAGGGGCATCTTCATCTAGACCAGGTTACCATGAGCAGGGACATCTTCATCTAGACCAGGATGCCATGAGCAGGAAGATCTTCATCTAGACCAGGCTGCCATGAGCAGGAACATCTTCATCTAGACCAGGTTGCCATGAGCAGGAACATCTTCATCTAGACCAGGTTGCCATGAGCAGGGACATCTTCATCTAGACCAGGTTGCCATGAGCAGGAACATCTTCATCTAGACCAGGTTACCATGAGCAGGGACATCTTCATCTAGACCAGGTTACCTTGAGCAGGGACATCTTCATCTAGACCAGGTTACCTTGAGCAGGAACATCTTCATCTAGACCAGGCTGCCATGAGCAGGGACATCTTCATCTAGACCAGGTTGCCATGAGCAGGAACATCTTCGTCTAGACCAGGCTGCCATGAGCAGGAGCATCTTCATCTAGACCAGGCTGCCCATACCCGAATAACCACCGAAATACAAGCATTAAATACAACCCAAGGAAACAGCCCCAGCACCTCGGCTCCAGCTGCAAACACCTGCAGCCCTGCAGCAGCAAGTGTAGATTAAACCCCCACCCCAACCACCCAAACACACCCACCCCAAAGCACCACCGAACCCAAGCCCCCAGCATGCCGGCAGCGCGCGCAAGGCCGGGTTTCAGGCTGCACCGTGCAACTGCCCCCGTTGCGCTCCGCAGCGTGCGGCCAACGGCCGCTCCTGGAAGGCAGCTCGGGAGCCCGGATCGTAGCTGGGCACGACGCAGCGGTGGGAGCGTGGCCGTGGCTCGTGAGCCTCCAGCTTCGCCGCGCTGGCGGCCGATACGCGCATGTTTGTGGAGGAGTCTTGGTCCAGGGGAATTCGGTGCTGACCGCCGGGCACTGCCTTACAGGGAGGAGGTAGGAGGGCTGCGGGCACCGCTTCTGGGTGACTGGGAGGGAGGGCACCATGGGAGAGCAGCAAAGCATCAGCTGGGCAGAAGGCAAAGCAAAGGGGTTCTGAGTTCCCATAGCGCAGAGCCAGTGCGCGAAGGCCAGGCTGAAGGGGGGCTGTGGGGATGCTGGGGAGGGACTCTCCATTAGGGACTGCAGTGACAGGACAAGGGGTAACGGGTTCAAACTGAAACAGGGGAAGTTTAGGTTGGATCTAAGGAGGAAATTCTTTCCTGTGAGGGTGCTGAGGCACTGGAATGGGTTGCCCAGGGAGGTTGGGAATGCTCCATCCCTGGTGGTGTTCAAGGCCAGGTTGGACAAAGCCTTGGGTGACCTGGTTTAGTGTGAGGTGTCCCTGCCCACGGCAGGGGGGTTGGAACTGGATGATCTTAAGGTCCTTTCCAAGCCAACCCATTCCATGACTCTATGAGTCAAGACCAAGAAGCCTTGGATACTCACACCTGGCTGGGTCCGGGCCAGCCTCTGGTGTTTCCAATGAAGGGCTCTTTGCTTTAGCTGTGATGGGTTTGGTAGCCTGGGGGCTGGTTTTGTCACGGGGCTCTCATTTTTCTGCTTGGTAGATTCTGATAAGCTAGCAAAACAAACAGAAAATGATTAAGTAGCCATTTAATCAGTTAATTCTTTAATTAGTCAACAATTTAACTAGTTAATTATTAAATGAGTTAATCGATTAGTTAATCATTTAATTAAATAGTTAATTATTTACCGAAACAGTCAATAACTTCATTACGATGATTAAAATGTCCGTGGAAATTTAAAGGAAAGGACGCAGTATTTAGATGGGAAACTCCACAATTCCTTGGGTTTCACACTATTTCCCCACTTCCTGCCTCACCATCCTTTGGGCACCCTCAGAAGAGGCCTTGCAGCTGTACCCGGAGCAGCTCTGCTGCACGTCAGCCCTCACCCCGGTGTCGTTGCTGTGGCCCTTAGCACAGTTGCACAACCCACCCGCGCTCAGGCAGGTCCATCCCGTTGGCTTACCCACGACCGAAGGAAGCCGAACGCTAACGCTGGACTTTGGAAGCGGCGGCGTTCCGCAGGGCTGGGCTGGATCAGCTCCTTGGCTCTCCCATTAAGGCCCTTCCACAGGCGTTCATCCAGAGGGGGGTCCCAGCCCCGTTCGCTCTCTGGCACCCGGGAGCGTGCTGGAGGTGAAGCTGAGCTTTGGAGCCCGCACTCTGCTCGTCCCAGGTTCAGTTCCCACTGGATAGCAGCAGGGATTCTGGCCAACGTACCTGAATAGGAACCAGGTGTGAATGACTCTGGCCCTATGCCTAAGAGTAATATGAATATTCATACATTCATACGAATAATATCTGAATATAATCATATATTTAATACATTAATCTATTTATTCTATATTAAATATTCGTATGTTCACATCTATTTATGTTTAGATATATATTTATGTTCATATGTCCATATATATTTGTGTTCATATACATATTTAATGCAAATATTATTTCTAACTTCTAGTGAACGACTTTCATTCACTAGAATGAAACTATTCGTTCTATTTCTATTCATTCCCATTCTATTCATATGAATAACATATTAGTATATTTAATATATTAATATATTTATACTAAATATTCATATGTTCATATCTATTTATGTTCACATATATATTTAATACAGATATTAATTATTTGTAATTTCTAGTGAATGAGTTTCATTCACTAGAATGAAACTATTCAATTTCTGGTCATTCGTTCTATTCATATGAATATTCATATGTTTAATCTATATTGACTATTCATATGTTCATATATATTTATGTTTATATATATTTATGCTCATATGTTCATATATACATTTATGTTCATATACCTATATTTAATACAAATATTCATTATTTGTAACTCCTAGTGAACGGGGTCCCCCGAGCTAGGTACAAGCACGCTCTTTGTAAGCATCGTGGCTTTAAACCGACTTCCTTTCTGCCACATAAACCCGTGCTTTTACCTTTTCCAAAGGAAAATCTCTGCTGAGATGGGGTGGGAAGCAATATCTGAGCATCTGCTTAACCCCCTGAGCTGAATTTGCCTTTAGAGCCATAACCAGCAATAGGAAACTGAGTGCTCAAGCCACACCGAAGGGGGCTCAGCCGAATTCCTTCCAGGTCACGGTCCCTGCAGGGTTTCCAGTGTATATTCCTCCAGGTGCATGAGCCAACAGTAAGTTAATCACTTAAATGACACCAAAGAAAGGGTTTACTGGACCTTAATTGCCCACCCCACATTGACTCCCCATTAGGGACCCATACACCTGGCGGGCTGTTTTGGGGGTGCACAACCTCGGGCAGCCCGGCGCCCACACCACCCGGAGATACCTCAGGAGCATCGTGGTGCACCCGGGCTTCAGGAGAGCCACGTTTGAGAACGACGTGGCCGTGCTGGAGCTCGGCTCCGCGGTGCGCTACGGCAGCGCCGTCCAGCCCATCTGCCTGCCGCCGGCGCACCTGGACCCGCTGGCCCACAGCGGAACCCAATGCTTCATCAGCGGCTGGGGACGCAAGAAAGAGCAAGGTAAGGATGGGCTTTGTGGTGCTGAGCGGGTGCTGAGCTCACAGCAGGGGCCGGGCACTCAAGCTTGACCTCAAGCTTGCTGAGGTTCTGGGCTTATCGCACATCACCAAGCGCTGGTTTCCGTTTGGAGCAGAGCAGATCCACCAAAGGCACACGCTCCTTCACTCTTCTTCCAGGTGGAACATAGAGTCATGGAATGGGTTGGCTTGGAAAGGACCTTAAGATCATCCAGTTCCAACCCCCTGCCATGGGCAGGGACACCTCACACTAAACCAGGTCACCCAAGGCTCTGTCCAACCTGGCCTTGAACACTGCCAGGGATGGAGCATTCCCAACCTCCCTGGGCAACCCATTCCAGTGCCTCAGCACCCTCACAGGAAAGAATTTCTTCCTTAGATCCAATCTAAACTTCCCCTGTTTCAGTTTGAACCCGTTACCCCTTGTCCTGTCACTGCAGTCCCTAATGAAGAGTCCCTCCCCAGCATCCCTATAGGCCCCCTTCAGATACTGGAAGCTGCTCTGAGGTCTCCACGCAGCTTCTCTTCTCCAGGCTGAACAGCCCCAACTTCCTCAGCCTGTCTCCATACAGGAGGTGCTCCAGTCCCTGATCATCCTCGTGGCCTCCTCTGGGCTTGTTCCAACAGTTCCATGTCCTTTTTATGTTGAGGACACCAGAACTGCACCCAATGCTGCAGGTGAGGTCTCACGAGAGCAGAGCAGAGGGGCAGGATCACCTCCTTGAACCGCTGAAACACCTGACCACAGGAAAGGGAACTCGCCTGACTTTAGATTCACATTCCCAGGTTCTCAGTGCTGTCTGCAGAAAGTTTTCTTATTAGAATCATAGACTCAGGGAATGGGTTGGGTTGGAAAGGACCTGAAGCTCACCCAGTTCCAACCCCTGCCATGGGCAGGGACACCTCACGCTAAACCAGGCCACCCAAGGCTTCGCCCATGGTTTAGTGTTACTGCAAACCAACAACCCTGAAGCCTCTGAGCAAGACAAGTGAGCACAAACACTGCATCACCTCTGAAGCCCGCACATCTTTAACCCACTGAAGTTTGTTAGAAGCAGGCACAACCTCTGTGTCACCCATCTAAGTACACGCAGGAACGAGCTAAAGCCTGAATGGGGCAGGGGAAGCACAGCAGGAATTGCTATAGCACGAGTATTTCACCTTTTTATATGCTGTCTTGCACTGAAGGTAAAATTTCAGCGGTGTTACAAGAAGCAGAAGTGGAAGTCATTCCTTCCAATGTCTGTAACAGTTCTGATGCCTACGGAGGGCTGCTTAACGACAACATGATCTGCGCTGGCTCTCTATGGGGAGGCCCTGATACCTGCCAGGTAAGAAGGAACATTACACCCGAGCTGCCCCTGTGGAAACCCCCAAGCCAGAGCGTCAGGGGCATGGTGATGACCAGCATTTGTAGCATCATTCACTAAAATGGCACAAATACGAAGCAGAAAACATGTCAGAAGTGCAAAAGGAGCAGCAGGAATAAAAGCATGAGACGGTGACGCACATCTCAAACCCCTGATAACACAGTAAAAAGATAAAGAACACAAGCAGATTTATACAACGTGTTCGGGGAGAAAAGCCTTAGAAGGAAAAGGTGCAGCAAGAAAACCAACCACCTTTTAGTTAAGGACACCAAAACTAATGCAGGTGTGGTGTTCTGGTCACGGTGGTCTCACCCAGCATCACCAGATCTGGTCTGCATTGTGCTACCCACGTATTAGCATCGTTATTACTCTCCAGTTAACTTAGCTGATGTATTACTGGCCTTAGTCTGCATCCTTCCCTGGAAGGGAGTATCTTCACCAGTGGGGTTTCTGCTTCTCTATAGGGAGACAGCGGAGGACCCTTGGCGTGCTATCACCCCCCCACCAACAGATACTACCTCGTGGGGATCGCCAGCTTTGGGGTTGGCTGTGGCCGACCACGGTTCCCTGGGATCTACGTCCGTGTGTCCCAATACAGAAGATGGATACAAGCAGAACTGGAGCTGAATAACAAGGCTGCGAGCCCCAGGAGCGCTCTGCTCCCCGTCCTTCTGAGCCTGATGCCCACAGTACTTGCGTGGAGCCTCTAAAGGGACAAACCACCGGGGCATGGCTGCAGAGGTTCGGTCTGCCTGGTAAACCTTGGGGAGGAGAGCCTGCTTCAGAATAAACCCGAGAGCCAAGGGACACACACTGAGCTTTCCAAGCCGTGTTTCCGCTTGCATCCGTGCTTTCCTTTCTGCTTTTGATGTCCATCATCACCAGTAGAGGGATCGGTAACAGCCTTAACCCTGGTAATGAAACTGAACATAGAAATGTTAACCCACCGAGAATACTTCTTTCTTACCTCTTTTCTATGCTTTCCCAGCCATCAAAACTTAAGCGTTAGCAACGACTACCACGCGCTTTGCAGAAGGCAGCTGCCCCCTCTGCTGGGTGAACGCTGGCAGAGCAGAACCGTGCGCCCCAGGGCTCAGCTGAAAAGCGGAGAAGGGAAAAAGAACCTGCAGGAAGAGAAAAGGTTTCCCCCCTCCTGATTTTTAGTGCTCACTACCGGTTAGGCACAAGTGGCTTCGTTCTCCGAGCGCTGAGGGCCGCAGCTCTTGGGTGCTGGTGCCGCTTGGCCGCTGAGGGACCCGACGGCACCCAACGCACGCGTGCTTGCTCAGGGCTACGCTCATGAAGAATCAATCGGGACCATCAGGGATCAGGTTTTGGCGACTTTATTTACCAAGGTCAAAATCTGCAACCATCTAAGTGCTTCAACAAATATGTACAATTCAGAGAAAGCATGTAATGGACTTCTGCTTGGAAATAACCAGCACGGTACTAGGTACTATAGCTCTTCCTCTCAGGATACAGATTTTACTCTCTTAACAATCTAGACTGTAAAGTAAATCCAAAGTAAGTGCCTCAAAGAGCAAACTCATGTTACTGTTTAATACTTCCATGATGAAAAATAAGCTGCTCTTTCCAAAAACCACTTATTTTAAGAGGATAAAAAGGTACTAACGTGATGTCTGGCAGCACGACTCGCTGAACACAGAAAGAATGGGCCACCATTCTGTTACAGTCTTAACACTTGATAGCTTTAATTATTCTTGTTATCCTGTATTACAAAAGAAGGTCAAGGAACAACAGCACACGGTGAGGATCACAAACCATACACAGGAGTTCCCAAATTGGCTGCAGTACTGTAGGTCAAACCCTCTTCACCATACACACAGACCTGATGGGGGACGGAGCAAGAGGGTCCGGTTCCCAGAGGCGCCAACCACGTCCCACGGCTTCCTTCTTCCTGAAATCCCACTAACAGAACCAGGAGGCACGGAACACCTTCTTCTGGAGCAGTTCCCTACAAACACCTTCGCCCTGTTCACTCTTTTCTGATGTGCAATGAAAGCACCCCCCTTTTCTGACATGACCACGAGCAGAAACGGGTTCTCCAGTTTGGCCTAAAGGAAACGTCCATAACAATCCCCCAAACTGCAGAGAGAAAGGTGGCTTTACAGCTCACTAACACCATGATTGTGGAATGCTGTCTTCCTCATCCTGCTTGCAAAGAGCTCTGCTTGCCCAGAAGTCCATGAATTCCAAGATGAGGCAAATAAAACACACTGACTGACCGTATGAGAAGCAGTACACAGCCGGGGAGCGAGCAGACCTCTGGACTGCCTTCAGCTCGGAGCTAGCACAACACACGCACACGGAGCTCTAACACCTTTTGAATAGCATAGTCCATAGTGCAATTCCCGCTGACATAACTGGAAGCAGGATTCGATCCTAACTATGGAAAACAGTGTAGTTATTATTCATGCAATAAGCACTGCATACACATCTCGCAGGATCACAGGAGAGGGGAGGTGGGACGGCACCTCGGGAGCTCGCTGCCTCCCACCCCCTGCTCGAGCCGGCGGCCCAGGGCCTCGGCCAGGCAGCTTTTGGGTATCCCCACGAATGGAGATTCCACCCCCCAAAAGAGTCCTGATCATGTCAAGCACTTCACTGCCACCTGGAACCGACGAAAATCCAACTGGAATCTCTTGACAGTGACCAGATCGAACGTGCAGATATCAGCAAGTGTGGGGAATCAAAAGCCCTGATCTCGTGGGTTGTTGTTTGTTTTTTTTTCTCCTCTTTTTGTTTTCCCAATATTCCCTAGGATCCCTTTTTTTAGTTTTTCTTTTTTTGCAAGTTGCCTACAGACGTACAAAATTAATTCAAATATCTCCTACACCAAAGAGGATCTCCTTTGACTTTGTACTATCCATAAAAATATATGCTCGAAAATCTGCTTCTTCACAAAATATTTCATTTGCTTACTAAAATGAAATATAGAAACTGTCAAAATACGTATATAAACTCAATTTCAGCATCTGGAAAGATCACAATTTAGCTACAAAATATACCACCCATCTACCTGTTTGCAATAAAGTATTTGCTTACAAAGATACCATTGCTTTGCAAAATATCACCTACCTTACAAAATCAGCCCGGCAATGTTGCACTGCTTTCAGCATAGAAACCCTATATTAGAACCTCAGTAACCCTTTGGTATACATCTTCCACTTGTGTGTTTTAGCATTTGGTTTCAACGTTCCAAAGCACAGAAGAGCCTCCAGACAGAAGCAGCAACGAGTGTTTCATTGTGTTTATAGGCAGCACATGGTTGTTTCTCAATTCTAGGTGTTTCCCATGCCCAGCAACTAAGAGCAACCTATTGTGAAATCATTCTTCAGCTCTTCTTCACCAGTACTTGCTCTTCCACGCTGCACTAGGGAATAACTGGATGCGTTGAGTCCTCTTAGGGCAAGCCAACACCTTTCACATGCCTCGGACATGGTCAGGACTCGGCCTCTGGCTGCTTGCTGCAGCTCCTTCCCAAATGCGATCAACACAGCAAAGGTTGAAAAGAAAACCCCCAACTTTTGTAACTCAGCTGAGAAAGAGGAAACGTGATTGATACCTCGAGCGAAGCAGGAGCTCCTGGTTAGCGTCTGCGCCTGTAACGAACAACCGCCAGCTTCAACCAAACCTATTTACATACAAAGAACTGAAAGCAAAAGAACTGGGAAAGAATAAAAGAGTAAGAAATCAAAACATAAACTGGTTATAAATGTTCCTACTAATGTCCACTATGGCAAGGATTCCACGTCATCCACTGTAACCAACTACTGCCTCCGTTACAAGAGGTACGGGAAGGAACTCTACCCGCCTGCCCTGTAAAACGGGACCGTCCTTTACTGTCGGTGCAATCGTGACTTCAGAACGTTTCCAGTTGTGCCAGCAGGGATTTTGGGTGAGGTTTTCCTGTTTCCTTTCTTGTACTTTGTCACCAAATAAAATCTCGAGAGTCTTGAAGCTGTGAAATCTAGGTAGAAAAGTTTCAATTTTTGACCTTTCGTTTAGAGGTTAAAAAATCCCGTATAAAAAAAAAAAAGAATTTCTCCTCTGAAATGTAAAGAGTCCAAAGTTTCACCTCCTTTTCTTACACGCTTTTATGACAGTAAAGATCTTTCAAAGTTTTTAACTCTTCAATGAGAGTTTTGTTCTGGTTTTCCAGGACCGCAACTCGATTTTCCAGGCATTTCACGTACTCCTTCTTCTTTCTACGGCATTCTCGAGCAGCTTCTCTGGAACACACAAGCAGAAGGGATTGCTGAGTTTAGAGCTGGGATGTTTCTGCTTCCTGCATGTGGTGATGCTGACCACTATGAGAGGAGGGAGCTGGCAGTGCCATCGTGAACAGCACGGGCTGGAAAGCGCATGATGTGTCCCGGGCTGCACCAAAAGGAGCGTGAGCAGCAGGCCCAAGGAGGTGATCCTGCCCCTCTGCTCTGCTCTCGTGAGACCTCACCTGGAGCTTTGGGTGCAGTTCTGGTGTCCTCAACATAAAAAGGACATGGAACTGTTGGAACAAGTCCAGAGAAGGCCACGAGGATGAGCAGGGGCTGGAGCACCTCCTGTATGAAGACAGGCTGAGGAAGTTGGGGCTGTTCAGCCTGGAGAAGAGAAGCTGCGTGGAGACCTCAGAGCAGCTTCCAGTATCTGAAGGGGGGCTGTAGGGATGCTGGGGAGGGACTCTTCATTAGGGACTGCAGTGACAGGACAAGGGGTAACGGGTTAAAACTGAAACAGGGGAAGTTTAGAGTGGATCTAAGGAGGAAATTCTTTCCTGTGAGGGTGCTGAGGCACTGGAATGGGTTGCCCAGGGAGGCTGGGAACGCTCCATCCCTGGCGGTGTTAAAGGCCAGGTTGGACAGAGCCTTGGGTGAGATGGTTTAGTGTGAGGTGTCCCTGCCCATGGCAGGGGGTTGGAACCGGATGATCTTAAGGTCCTTTCCAACCCTAACTATTCTATGGTTCTATTCTATAGGCAGACAGCATGAAATTGGTACCACGTGTGGCAGCCAATCTGCAGGGAAAACCCAGTTCGTTTTCTCCAAGCTGTGCAGGACAGAACACGGGGCACGTTTTGGCCTGAATTCCCTACTTTTCAGTGGACAATTCACCCTTCAGTGACGGCACAATCAGTAATATTAGTCTGCAGGATGCAGTTTGCCCTTTGAGGATGCCTTTCAGCACATGAAATACCAAACCCCCAGCAGCCCACGTGCAGTCCCCTACCTGTTCTTCATCAGCCGTATCTCTCGTTTCAACTGTGGGTCATCCGTCTTACTCGTCTGCGACGTCAGGGTGACAGGAGATGTCATCACCACAGTCTGGGGCAGGGAGGTGGTGGTCGGGGTGGTGCGGATCTGGTAGGTCTGCATGTCCCCTGAGGCAGCTGTTGGGAGAAGAGCACAGGACATCAGGACGTGGCCGGGTCGGACTCGCGTTAAGGCTAACGTCACACCGCTTCCAGAGGCTGTACTCACTCTGCACCACCACCTGGTTGCTGGGGACAAGGATCTGTTGCCCATCCGAGGTCTGGGCATACTGCAGGATCGTCGTGCCAGGCTGAGCACCACCAGCGTTGGCCATCGTCAGTGTCTGCAGACCCTGCACGCCGTCAGCGCCCGGGCTGGCCAGCTGCAAGCCATTGGCAGCAATGGCAACTTGAAAGGAAAAGGAACTCGCTCAACAACCTTTGTACAGTGTGAAATACAAAGG